CGGTGTAGGGCACCCAGGATAAAGGCAAGTCCCCCCACCTTTAGGTGACCCCAGTACGGAGAATTCTGTGAGACGCACAGGCACCCCACACCCAGTTTGGGTGATATCCCTCGGTACAGAAACAGCTGTCCCTTTTCTAGAGGTACCCCCAGACACAGACAGGCCCCTCGGAAGGGCTGCCAGAGCTGTTCAGGCTCCTCTTGCAGCCCACAGGCAGCGCAGGGCTGAGCCAGCCTGGCTGGGCCGGGGGGGGGAATTACTTGCAGGAAATTACTTGCTGTGGGCTTTGATTTGTGCCGTGGTTTCCTACTAATAGTCCCGTGTAGATTCTAGGCTTCTCAACCCCGCCGGGGAGGCTCTCCATGATGGCTTTCATCCTCAATGCGCTCACCTGGTAAGTCGGCAGCTTGCTGGAACACCTGTCTTGTTCTTTCTTAAACTTGAAAAGAATTCAGGGTGACCTACTGCCTCTCTCAAAACACCTCCTGAAAGCCCTGCACCCACCTGAGTGTGTCTGCTGGGGGCAGTTGGGAACTGCTGACTCCTGACTTTGCAGAGCCTAGATAAGACATTTCACTTCACTGCCTCAGTTTCCCAGCTGGGAAGGAGATTTGCCTCTCTGACAGATTTTACTGAGTTAGAATTAACAGGTCTCAGCAAACACTGATCTATAAACAAGAATGTATTTTGCCCCTGTCACTGGGCACAGATTACTGAGGGAGATAGCTTAAAAATTCCTGCCGCTCTCTCTACACTAAAACCTCATTTTCCTGCCATCATATAATTATACAGCTGTAAGCATGTAAGTCTTGCTGCAGCAGCTGGAGGAGAAGTTAAAGAAACAAACTATCCTTAAAACATTTACAAAGTTCTAAACCAGCTAAATAATCAATACTGACAATTGCTGGTAGCTCTTACTCTATCCCCTTTTCCCTAGGTGCCATTTGTTTATTAATCCCTGTCTTTATTTTGCAGTGCTTTGGGCCTGCTCTACTTCATCCGCCGAGGAAAACAGTGCCTGGATTTCACAGTCACGGTTCACTTCTTCCACCTTCTGGGCTGCTGGATTTATAACTCACGCTTTCCCTCGACCCTGACGTGGTGGCTGGTGCACATTGTCTGCACCGCGCTGATGGCTGCGATCGGGGAGTACCTCTGCATGAGGATAGAACTCAGAGAAATCCCCCTCAATTCTGCCCCCAAATCCAATGTATAGACTCGCTCTGGCAACAACATGCTGCATTATCTCATTGTTTCCAGCACAAGAGCATCTAATGCCCAAGAATCATCACCGAAGAAGCACAGCAGGTCTGTTTAGACTTTTTTTTTTTTTCCTTTTTGGACCTTGGTGACTGCATGAGCATGAGCATCTCCTCTGGCATCAGCCGACAGCGATGAAGGAGCAGATGTTTATTTTGTTACTGCAAAGCATTAATATGACTGTATGGCGAGCGTGCTCTTAAACACTTTGCTCATGAGACTGTTAAAAGCCAGGTAGCAAAACTTGGATGCGTGAGGCGCATCTGGAATTTTACAAACGTGGGAGTTCCCTGTGTGGGTAATGCAATGGTCAGCGCTTCTTGCGGCAGCTGGCACAGTGAGCAGTGGGGCTGGGAGCTGCTGCTTCCGATCTGTAACTTGTTTGGGCTTTGGTTGGAAAAAGAAGTCAAGGAAGTGAATGGATGGGGAGAAAGAAAATAGTTGTACTTACCTGAATCACCAGCTGAGACACTAAATAACCTATAATGCGAGATGGGTTTGTTTGCTGTTTCCATATTTAATACATAGACATGTCAGACAGCAGTTTGCTGCAGAAATCTTTTGTAATAATAAAAACATGATGTTGCTGTGAGTGTGTTACGGTTCTCCTGGGAAGGTGCACACTTCAAGGAATACGACGAGTGTCTGTATCATGGCAACAGAAGGATATAGCCAGAGAATACATCTAGAGTACATCAAATTTCCTACAATAAATATTTCATACCTCTGAAACGAAGGGATCGGTGAGTGCTGTCTGGGGAAGTCAGCCAGCATAACCCTCGCTGCAGGAGGAGTGTCAGCAGTCCAGGGTCTCCATGTGCTTGTCTGGAGTTGCCCTGGGGAAGCCTGCAAAGGTGTCCTGGAGCCACAACGATCTTCCAGCTTCTCTGGGTCTTCCTGGCAGGCTTCAGAAGCCTAGCAGCAGGCTGGGTCTAGTAGAGGATGTTTAGCTGAGAGACTGCTGTTTCTCAGAATAACAGGATGCACCTTTATTTAGAGGCACTTTCAAATAAACATCACCTGTGGGCAGGGAGGGACAACACCTTACTGCTAAGGGGCCAGAGACAGATGGTTCCCCCGGATCTCACAGCGCAAGGAAGCAGACCCACATCCTGCCCAGTTTCTGCTGAGGGATGGCCAGTTCATACAAGGGCAAAGCCAGTCCTAAAGAAAAGATTTATTTTTTTCCTCCTGTGCAGCACCTTGCTGCAGTAATTTTCTTTTGTTAGTAAGTGTTAATTTTCATAAATTATTTGCTAATTCAGCTTGTTGAAAAGTGGTGGGATGACTTGAGATGCAGAAGTTGATAAAGTCTTTGAAGCTACTCTTTTGACTTTTGTTACAGGAGGAGGCGTATTTCAATTCCTGCTCTCATATTCAGATACTGTAAATTGAGGCAGGATAACATCCTGATGTTTTAAATACTTGGCAGGTCTGCCACAGAGGGGTATTGCCAATTACATTTATTTAGACAGAACTTCTTGCATTCTGAGAATTCTCCAGGAACTCTTCCTCACCAAAACCTCCTTTGAGCACAGTTTTAGAACAGCAGCAGTCTTTCAGGGACAAGAGTTTACATTTTTTCCAAGCAGGAGCCAAGCTAGCTAATCACTTCCTAGAGCTTCGCCTGGAACTCTGCTGTGAAGTCTGAAATAGTTCATCTCTTCTCAAACTCTGCTCATTTCTTATAAGGATACTCTCCTTTATTCCAGTCACCTTCAGCCTAGATATAAACTGGTCTTCCAGTAGGTGCCAGTGTCTCCTTCAGAAAAGAGCGGCGAGGGTGCCTGCGGTGGGGATCAGGGCGCAGCAGAAGGCACGGAGCTCTGCCTCTGGGCTGACAAACGCTGGCTTGGTGGCAGTCGTATTTTAAAAACTTTCAGGGTCATTTTGTCCTCTCCTGCTTTTTGTTGCCAAGAAAGAACATCTCAATCCTGCACAGATTTAATTCAAGGCTTAACACCGCACCAAAGCAATGTGTGAGCTCCTGTGTTCCTCGGGGGTGGTCTTAAGGCAAATGTGAGCTAGAAGGCTCATTAGAGTGAGTATGAGAGCAGAGGGAAAGCCACATTCATCCCATTTCTTAAAGAACGGGCAGCAGATCCCAGAATTGCTGTGAGACCGTATTAAAGAGGTACTATCTGTGTTTCCCTGTAAGAAAAGGGATGAAAACTTTGGACCTTCTTGCTTTCTGAATACACGAGGTAGGCTGTAACTGCTTCAGCAGCCTCCCTTGTGGGGATGAAGCCCGGGCGCAGCTTTGTACCTGGAGATACTCTGAGCACAGGCACAAGAAGAATCCTTGATAAATGTGGATTTAACACCAAGTCTGTGGGACATCCAGTGAGCTGCACTGCATCAGCATGAAGTAAGCTGTAGGATTAGAAATGCTGAAAGTCTGCTGACTTTGCCTTTGAGGACAGGATATATATATATATTGCTTTTTTTCTTGTTAAAAGTAAATCTGCTGTAATTGTCCCAGTCATAGGAGAAGTTCTGCTAAACATGAAATACTGACTGAGCAGAGAGCCTCTGAAAATCATCACTCCCATACTGTGAGACCTAATTTTCACTCACATGCTTACAGACAGATTTAGGATCACCTTCAGCTTTAAAGAAATCTGCTGCTTCATACCAGAACAGCGGCAGATGGTCTTTGTTTCTTAATGAATCTTTGGTGTTTGTGTGCAGTAGAATTGAGAGACTTGCTTCCAGGGAAGATATGCCTCAACACCTGCTCTTCTTAGGAGACAGCGATAGTGTCAGTTAACCATTTGCGTCCATGGTTTTGCAAAAAGACGACTGCTTGGAGATCCGTCCATTTCCCTTCCCCAAAGCTAAAAGTAGAAAATTTTAATGGAGAGGAAGATTCCAAATCCAAAGAGAAGCTAAGGGTCATGGGATTTGGGGGGATTGTGCTTATTTGTTTGGGGCATTAAACACCTATTCTAAACAAAGGGCAGGTACAGGACTTGGATCCAGAAGACCCCATCCTTGGATGTACATGATACCCACAGCCTTCAGCTTTCCCCAGCTACAAACCTCAGGCAGAAGAGATGACAAGGTGCAGGAGGAACAGGATCAAACAGCATACCCTGCTGTTAGAGCGGAGTAAGACAAAAAGACAAAGCAGCAGAGTGATTTGCTCCAGGTTCTGCAGGGCCCTGGTTTACCCCTTCTGCACTAATGACTTTGTGCCTCAAATGCCGAGTATGTGAGTAACAACTCTGTAAAAAGCCCAAGTGCCTCACACCAAAGTGCTGGCCGAACACCAGCTGCTTCTCCCCGACTTACTTCTTGGAATTTGCTTCAATTTATTTGCTCCCTCCTGCTGGTGCAGGAGCAGAGTGTTAAGTGCTGGAAGAGCACTAAGAGGAAGAACCTGTGAATGGCAACGGAGAGCAGCATGACCCATCATTAAAAAGCCCAGCACCACTGTAAGTAAAAAGATCCTTTGCTGTAGCCGAAGCTTGCCCACCTGCCTGTAATGCATCCAGTGGGATCTCTGCAGCTAGCAGGGCCTCAAAGCCACTGCTCACACTGTAAAGCACATTTTCAGGCTTGGGGACCCTGTTTCAGAATGTTCTGATCCATTTAGAGCTGGCAATACCTACGGCCGCACCCAGTCCATGGCAGAGAGCGCTCACATCATCAGTACGAGGGTCCTGTGGAGTGTTTCTCAGGACTAGGAGGATCCACGAGCTTCCCCAGCTCTGCACAGGGTCATCCATCATGGTTAGCAGCTGCCTGTCCCTACTGGGAGACAAAGTGCCTGGATAAGGGGCCAACAATCTGTGGAAATGGTGATGTGTGGCAGATACAAGAAAGCTGGGCTGAAATACCCCACTCTCCTCACAGGAGTTACAGCTCCTGCACAGCCCCAGGGCACAGAGCTTCATTAGCGACCTTCAAACACAAAACTGCTTGTATTTTTCTGCCCTACCCAGAAATGCCTTCCAAGCACCTCTGTACTGCAAATACTTTCATGCTTGTACTGAGGCTGCAAAAACAAAACAACACTCAGCCACAAAGGAGGCAAGACTGTGCTATCGAAGAAAAGGCAGGACAAGTAACTTCTACCACACTGTAGGCTCTACAACAAACTTTAATACTCTGGAATTACACATTGCCCTCTACAGAGCTGCTTACAGGTACCTTTGGAGAAAGCTTTAAAGCAAAAGATTTGCTGTAAATCCTTTTTGTCATGCTAACTTGACACCCCCTCTTTACCCAAATGTTTTTTCCTCTATTTCTTTAGAAAAGGGATTTATATCTAACATGGGAGTTATTCAGGAATCCAGATGTGTGCAAGAGAAGGTCATGCACATGTGATTATTCTTCAGGAAGGGTTTCACCATGTCCTCAAAGTGAAAAAGGCCAGTACAGTGCAGTAAGGTCTCCTTTCTGCCTTTGACAGGACATACACCACCTCCTGCACCTAACAAACCAGTGATAAAGTATCCATCTTGCTTTCAGTGCCCAAACCAAGTATCTTGAGAGCTGATCTGGTGAAAATAGTCAGCAAAGTAAATGGGTTTCCTTCCAGTCGCCACAGAAGAGTACAAAAGAATGCAGGGTTCATAACCAATATATCATTTCCCCCCCAAATCCTCTGCCTTGTGTCTACAAGCTCCCAAATTCTGCAATCAGCCAGATCTGCGCCTGTGCCTTGAGGCAGAAGGGGACAGGCATTATCCCAAATTACCAAGAAATAGAAAAACCCAGTAGATGCTGTTGAGCTCTTTCATGTCTCACAGGTGCAGGATGGAGCCAAGTGTTCACTGAGCACCACACAGCGTACTCCTCCAAGGTTTGGAAAAATGATCACAAAGATGCCACAACACATGCTGCCACCACCTTTGCTGTGATACTTACAGAACTGCAGTTTATAAGTTCAGCCAAGTGATGATGAGGGGGATGCCAAGGACAGAAATGTTGGGAACGTGGATCCAGGCAAGGTTTTGGGCCGTGCTGGGGCTGCAGAGGTCAAACAAGCTGCCTTGAAATTTGATTTTTCGAGACTCCCTTCTCAGCATCTCCCAGATGGCTGCTGCTTCCTTCTGGCACTCCCAGAGCGCTGCCAGGGCACACATGTGGAATTCATCCCAGTACCTGCAGCCGAGAGAGACACTGCATCATCGGTCCCTTGCAGTAGCACAGCACCGAGATGCTGGGCAAAGTTTTGTTGCCCAAAGCCTGCCCTTTGAGCGGTGACAACCTCTGTGTTTTGTGCAAGATACCCAGACTATTCATCCCCTCCACCGTCTCCCAGAACATCTCACCAGACCTCAAAACACACTGAAATTTGGATGCTTTTTTCACCCCCTTTCTTTCTCTGGAAGTCAATAAAATTCATTAGTTTCCATCAACAACCATTTCCCTTCAGCACGAAGCCCCCTCAATATTTAGAAGAGGCTGCAAACAAAGGCCCAGCATGTCTCATTCATAGCTTTCTCCAAGCCAAGTCAAGGGCAAAATGGGAGCACAAAGCAAGGAGAGAGACAACAGCTCCTGCAGATCATAGCGGCTTTATAACTAAGGTATGGCCAGGGGCGGGAGGCATTATTCACTGTGTTCTCATTAGGCACATTTCCAT